TGTCAACTTTACCCACAGCTCCCAGGATCTTTTCCAATTACCTAGCTCAACACCTGCATGTGAGGGGTCTGTGACCCAGTCTGCAGAACAGGTTTGGAGGGTCTGGGACCCAGCCCAACATGGGATTTCTAGGAGTGGAACAGTGTAGGGAAGGTGAAGAAAAATGGTCAAGGTCCCTTGGGAGTTCGGAGTCTTGCTGAGCATTTGATGTAAATATGCCTATGTGCCCAGGTGTTCCTTGGCTATTGTCTGATGTAGATGCACGTGGGCACCCAGGTGTCCTGGGTTATTGGACTTAAAAAGGACGAGCGGCTCTGATCCACAGCACCCCCCATCCCCAGGAAGTTCCCCAGGGAGGCCGTTACTGCTGCTGGTGGCTGTTGCTGCTGGGGCCCCCAGGACCCTTCCAGAGGCTACCGCCGCTGCTGCTGGAGAAGCTGAGGACTGAGCTCGTGTCATCTACCAACAACTTCCAGTATCTTTCCCAATTACCTAGCTCGGGGACCTGGGTGTGAGGGGTCTGTTGACCCAGCCTGGCTTGTAGCTAGCACGTGAGGGGTCTGTGACCCAGTCTGTACAACAGGTTTGAAGGGTCTGTGCGCTCTAGCCTAAGCATAGGATTGGCTAAGGCAGGAGTCCCACAGTTGCCCTAGCCAGACAATTAGCGTAGTTGCTTTAGCAATACAAACAGCCTTAAATATTTCTTTGACCTCTCTGACCCCCAAGAGGTGAGGAGGATGTTTGCTCCAGCTTTAAGGAAATACAGGGTCTAAGATTGGGATTCCTGATAACTTGGTGTTTGATAAAGACACACTGAACTCTTCAAGGCATATTCTTGTTTCTCATTTCAGGCTCTTCAATGAGCATGCACTGACTTTATATAAAATGCTTGTAATTAGAGTCCAACATTGTTATTACAGCCCTGCAAATGGCACTGCTTAGCTGAAATCAATTTCTTGGAGAAACACTAATTATTCCACGCTTTGTAAAAAGTATAAGGGCCGGAATCGCCACACTCGAAGTCATCCACAGCAAAGGGAGGAAGGTGTCAAAAACCTCCACTTGACATCTACTCTCGTGCTCCCCGGCTCCCTCCACGTGGGCTCGCCCGGCGCGTTGCGCACGCGCGCTGCCAACAGGCGGGCCT